GCCAACGTAAAGGCTGACCAACCGGCCGCTTGCGCGATCTTGAACACAGCTGAAAACTGACACTGTAACTGAGCCCCGAGAGCGGGCCATACTTGTTGCAAGATGGAGGCGAACTGTGAGCACAGCTTCAAGGGGTACACTTGAGCAAGCTTGGTCCGAAAAACGAAAGCGTTGAAAAAGTCAGACCAAACTCGCCCCTTCAACAGCTGGTGGCGATGGCCGCCCTGGCACCGTCGAGCGAGCCCTTGAAACAGTGCATGTGAAATGAGGAACCGCGTTGGCTTCACCGATGGGGCTCCATATGGTCAAAGTCCACAGCCTGAGCACGAGTGTGACGAGTGAGCTGTTCAACAGTGGGCGTTTGCCAGAGCAGGCTATGTTGAGGGTTCTCGATGGAGTAATCGCCTCCGTGGTTGAAAACCACAAGACAAATTTCGGCCGAGCGGAACAAAAACAGGTTCCCCATGAAAACCAAGGCACGATTGTCTGCCGAAAGGTCCTGGAGGCCGAGCGGCTCAGCCCGGGATCGCAGGGGGGGAGGTCCCCCCGTCGGGTTTCCGAGCGGCAGAAAACGGGTTGCAAGGTGTTCCACAGTGAACGAACCGAATGGCCCCGGCATGCATGTGCAAGCTGCACGACGAAGTCCCATGAGGCCGAATCGAGAACATCAAACGGCACCGGAACCTCCTGACAAGGGGTGATATCGATCGGCGGCAAACATGGGAGACCGACGGCACGAACAGCAGCGGTCAGGGTAGAAAAGATCTCAAGGAACCAGGCCCATGTTTCTTGAGCAAGTCAACATCACGAGGGACCTCTGCCCATGACCTCCACACAGGGTGCTCTGGCGACACTGTCAGCGGTCGAGCGGCCGCGTCATGCGTGGCACCGGACTCCTGAGGCACAGGTAGCGGGGACGCCGGAGTCGACTGCGCCCCCGCTTTGGACGATCGTATTCAGTGGTTCCCGTGTGAGGGGTGGGATTTCCCACACTCGACACAGGCATGAGCACTCTTACACTGATCTCCGAACCTGCACCCTATAATGAGCAGTTGTAAAAGGGACACCGCTTGCGACCTGAGTATTTAAAACGATGTGATCTTTGCCCACTCCTCAGCTGGAACCCGAGCGTCTTTCTTGGGAGGATCCTTAGGCCGAGCACCCGCCTGCGACTTGACAGACTTAAGCAGGGCCTTTCGAGCTTTGGCCGACGAGGGTGCCTTGGGGGGTGTCTCCGAACGATAGCGTTTGGGATGTCTCCGCGGAGGAGTGGTTGGGGCGGACTGCCCTGCTTGTCGGAACTTGTCTAATTCGGCGCTCGAACGAGCGTCATTCCATAATTGTGTGTGGTGGTTGAGCACTTCCAAAAGAGCGGCCGAAAAAGTCGAGAACGTCTTGTGCTGATCCGAGTTCAACCGATAGATCTTTTTCCTGATCAGGCTATCGACTGACAAAAGCAGAGCCAAGCCCCGATTCTCATGTCGCCATTCCTCGAGCTCTGAGAGGTAGCGAAGGGGACCTGCGGCATAAGTGAACTCACAAATGTTCAAAATACTCGAGTGCGACCTGAAAAGCATGCAGCTTGTCCATGACCTGTTGTTCGGAAAGCTTGGTTGGTCGATCGTGACAACTTTGAGCAAATCCTCAGCGTTTTTGGACAGACCACTCTTCTGGGCAACTTGTTCACTCCGAGTTCGCATTTCCCCAACCTCGTAAAAAGGAACCGATCCATGAACAAGGTATACTCTCTCATCCGCTCGACGAACTTGCGATGCGGCTGATGTTTCAGGATGTTTCAGGACAAACTGCTCACGAAACTCGGCGTGATCATCCCCTGGTATCTCAGGAACCTTGTTCGGATCTTCTTCCATCTTTGCTCGCCGAGAGGCAAAGTGTTCCTGCAGAGTCGAACATGACTTCCAGATCCTGGCTAACGACGTGAGGGCGAGTTCATGTGCTGCCGGATCCGGCCCGAGCAGGCTTTCATCACCGATGATCACTTTCAAAGTCTCTTTGACAACTGCGATCGTGTCACCTACAATGAGGACACCTTTAGTTATATAGAAGTTATTTAAGTTAAAAGAGTTATATATAAGTTAAAACTTAGTTACTCGACACTTCTGTAACTTGTCTTATATGTTACTTAAAAGTTCGATAACTTCCAGGTAACTATTTTGTAACGTTTCTTATCTTGTTCGCTTTCTTGCTTAGGAAAAACTGGTTTTCTCAAAGAAACACTGTTGGCACCAAGAAAAGCACAGCGACCGGCTGACTGAACATGGAAAGCGTACGGACAACTGCGTAAGCCTAAAAACATTGCGGACAACCGCAAGAACACATATACGGGCGAAAAAAATCATTGCAGCATACTGCGCGCAAGTGAAGTAGTTCTTTTTCACAGCAAGCACAGCACGCTGCTCTGCTCAACCAGCCACCACGCTGGCTTGCGCAACTGCTCCAGGTTTTGCAAACATACAGCATCCTTGGCGCCGGAAAGCGAGAACCGAAGTGCATGCACATGAGGTATGTCGCACGACAGTGGGACCAAGACGTCCATGACAACCACGAACTGGTTGCGCCAGTCTGCGCAGAAAAGAATCATGCCAGCACCACGGCGCCACAAAAGTACATCGCCGGCGTTCAACAGTTGGTGCCCTGTATGCACTCTGGTGCTCACACTGCAGCGCACACCGCACGCTTCTTCCACCTGCTGTGGTTTGTAGACGCGCCCAGCCAGTCTTGATTTGCCCACAGCACTATCATTCTGAGATTCGATGGTTTGATGTAGCATCCTTCCAAGGACCTGCCGAGAAAGATCACCACTGCGTTCTTTCCAAACGTGTTGAAGGGTATCTGCTAAGAACCTCTTGTACATACCATGTTTCTTTTCTGTTGCCCAACAGTCAGCGTATCCCAAAGAAGTATACATTGCTGGAAGGTGTAAGCGGAGGTGGTGCTTGGGGCGTTCCTCACCAGGGTACACCGACATGAATAGGCGATGGTGTCTTCGTTGGGCTTCATCCAAAGAGCTGGAAGCCTCTCCGGAAGTCTTTCAGGCAATGGTATACCTGCAAAGGTGCTGCTTTTGTTGACCGCCAGTGCATAATAGCAACCAATATTGAATTGGTGGAAATAGACCCGATTAACCAATATTGAATTCGTGGAAATAGACCTAGATGTGGTTAGATTGAAGTGGTGGAAATAGGCCCGATTAACCAATATTAGTATTAGTATTAGTGGCAAGCTGCATCCATCAAAGCAGAAAAACACTTGAGCGCATCACTCAACAAGTCCTTCCCAAAGACAAAGGCATAGTACCACAGAAGTGGCATCAAGTACCAGGCAGCCGTGGCAGATCCCTTGAAGAATACACCCCGCCAAAGAGATGGATGGAATAAATGTTTCCTTCCGGACACAGAGCTGAAAGAAGAATTGTTGCACACCCAAGGCACTTCACACACTGATTCTTGAATGCGACTCAACTCAATATGCAAATTGGTAGCCAATTGTTTCTGCAACAAGAGCATCTCTTGGGCAGCCACTCCGTTGGCAAAGTACAGGTGGTGACTGTCGTATACCACCTTGTCGATGGAAAGTAGAGTTCTTGACGTCTGACAGCTTAGAAGCGCCTGGTCGTGGATCCCAAAGCCAAATTGAGTCTCCTTCTCCTGCTTCTGGGCCTTGGTCATGTCGTTGATCTGGCGTTGGAGTTCATCGTGAACTGAATACAACTCAGCGGGGTCGTAGACCTGAAAGCGCTCAACTTCATCTGATGAGATTGTAAGGAAGTGGCCATCAAATGAGGGCACATCGCTCCAAGCAGCAACAACATTGGCGCATAAAGCGCAACAGTGAAGCCCAGAGGCTCCTTTAGACATGAAGATGCGCGCCACAGAATCGTAGTCGCCGATGTACAGCTGCAAGTTCAATGTATATCGAACACCGTTGATGGAGACACCCTCCTGTCTCTGCAGGTCCAGATGCCGGACAATCGAAGCTGCAACAGAACTCAGCCCACCTGCCACATCAGTGACATCTCGTGATGGCACCATTGCATGGGGAAACCAGCAATCGGCAGACTGCAAGTGATCCACCTGCTTTACGGCGATGTAGAAAAAGACAGACTTCTTTGAGCTGTTGGTGGCTAAGACGTTGCCTCCTGTGCACTCGTCCATGTATACCAAAATGTCTATCGCTGGATCTATTTCATTCCACAATTCTCTGTATGGCTCGGAGTTGGCCAAGGTGTAGGCAAGCATATCTTGAATCCGGCTAGCATAAAAATATATCGGTGAGCCATCAATAGACTGGCAGGACAATGTGTCGTAGCAATCAAAAGCAGGCTTGAGGATTCTCTTCACAACTTTCTGTGTAATGATCGGAGTTGCGTCCTCAGATTGCAAGAGGTGTTGCAACCTCTCTAGCGCACGCTGAGGAAACCTTGCCAACGCAGCAGATAATCCAGATGTTCGTAGTCTCTTTGCGCTGCGCTCATCCATGGTACGACGCAAGATCCGATGTTGTGAGTTGCATACTTGCCTCAACAAATGCCTTGTCGTCTTTGTTTCTTTCAAAAGGTGTTCCCTTCAAAATACTTTCGTTTGATTCAGTCTATACGCCTACTTCAACAATAAAACACACATATTGGATGTGTCCTTGAAGGAAAAGAAGGACGCGCAACACATGGCAGCATATCTAGACATCGACGATTCGGAATGCGCCGACAACCGCGGACAACCGCGAAGGTATAAGGATAGAGTAGACACAGTGTGCCGGTCAAATTGTGTATCAGTGATATTATATAAGGGGTTCAGTATTAGTGATATTATACATATAATGTAAGGGGTTCAGTAGATGCAACACATCAACCAAATTGAGTATCAAAAGAAATGATACAGAAGACAAAATGCACCAATGAATTGGAATATCAATGCACTTTTTCCCAACTGCTCTTAATTGTATATTGGCGACCCAAGGGTCAAGTTCAGATCTCAGCAACTTCAATAGCGAAGCCGGCCCGTCTCGTAGGTGGCATTCAGAAAGGCAGTGAGCTGCGGGATAGCATCTGCAATGCACACATAGGCCACGGCAAGGGAAGCCTCTATCCTGCCACCAACATCGATTTTGCCTTCCAGCCATGCAAGGGTTCCTTGCATTTCAGCGACTTTCAACTCGATTTGGGCATGAGGAAGATCTTCTGTCTTCACTTTCCACACCATGGTCATAGGACTGGCATTGCGGTCGAAGAGCTGGTAAGCCTTCCATGAAATTGTCTCTGGGCAAGAGCCGCCAGCCAACATAGTGCGCCAAGTCGCCAAGGTAGCGCAGGCCAGAGCCAAGCCTTGACTATGCATCTTGCTGTCCTTGTACATGAAGCGGAGCCAGTAGCAAATCTCCTTGCACGTTTCAAGCTCGTAGTCTCTTTCGTCTGCAAGGTGCGGGTAGGCCTTCAGCAATATGGCCAGGCTTTGTTCTAGCTCAGCTTTGCTCAACAACGACATGTTCGTCGCAAAGTTCAATCCGTTCGTTGAAAGCCTGAGCCAACGAACTTCGAGCAGGCGCTTGCAAGCACACTCAGTCAACACAGCAGCACAGCGGACAATCGCCAACAAGATAAGGCGGACAACTGCCCACTAAACTACGCAATCATTGCAGTATCTAGATGACATCCCACAGCAGGGCGGACAACCGCCAACAAGACAAGGCAAACAACATCCCACACCAAGGCGGACAACCGCCAACAAGACAAGGCAAACAACTGCATGCCTACTATTTACGGAATCATCGCAGTTACTCAAGGATAAGAAGCTTGCACTGCACGCACCCCTTTTTCTGGACAAGTTTTCTGCGTAGATTGGTAGCCAGAAGAACACAGACCCTTTGAACCTGTGTTGACCAAAGCCGATGCAAATGGTGGTGAATTGTCGGCCAACAGCAGCCGCATGAAAGGCTAGCAAACCAATGGCCAATTTGAGCAAAACCTACTGCTTTCACAAAGCGCGCTTCTCGTCATGGATCTTTTTCACAGCTTGGTTCCCCTCCTTCACCTTACCTGTGATGCCCTTCTCATTCTCGAAATCAACATCCTCCCAGCTGTAGGGCTTGGAGGAAGCAGTGCGCCTGAGGATCTCCTGCGCTTGTGCAAGCCATTTTTCCAGGCAGTCCTTGGCCTGCTGAAACTCAGCCTTGGCTTCCTGTGAGATCTGGACCTTAGCCAGGATGTTCTTCTCGACCTTCTGGAACTTTTCCAGCTGAGGCGGAAGCACCAACATGATCTTGTTGGACAGTGCCAAAATCTTTCTTTGGGCCTGCTTGCATTGCTTCCTCCGCTCAGCTTCCTCTTTCCTTTCCGCTTTCTTCTGCTCTGCCAGCAGCTTGTTGTGTGCTTTCTGATCCGTGAATGCCTGTGCCAGGAAGTGGTTTTCAGTTTTCAGTCATCTAGGTGTCTTCTACCAACATGTGTACATATTTCTGATGTGTATGTATAATTAGTTGGCATATGACTCATTGCCTGTGGTGGTGAGGTCTTGCAAGGGAAATGAGCAGCACTTCACTTGAAAAGTGGGCCAGCGTTAATAAAAAGGTCTAACAAAAAGTCATGGCAATGTCAACAAGTTTTTCCAAGCCTCATCCTCGGAGTCGGAGCGCAAGTCCGTGAGGTCCACCAACTTCTCCTTCAGCTCAAGCTGCTTCTCTGTCAAGGGAATGGGAGTTGGAGCTTCAACCTTTTCTCCCTTTTTGGCTTTCTTGGGTGGGGCCGGGACAATCTCTTTGGGCTCATGTCTTCTTTTGCAATCCCTTTCACAACGCAGGATTGTCTCTTCGATGTGCTTGTAAGTGACAGCCTCGCTATTCATATGGACTGGTACTGCATAGACCGTGCCCACAATGGAACAAGGCCTCGAGTCGGCCTTTTCCTCGATGTCGTCGCTGCAGTAGCCGAGTTTTTCCCAATAGCTGAGCGGGCGATATTCGTTCGCGCAAACCGAAGTTTTTTCATGTATGGTGGAGCTGCTAATCACACGGCAAAGAAGAGAGCGCAGCAGCTTGTACCGAAGCACACCTCCCTCATCCTGCTTCAAAGCCACAGCCTGGCGCCAAAACCCAATTTGTTCACTTGGGTTGAGCAAATCCCATTCTTTGGGAAACTCTCCCAAATTGCGGCGCAAAGTTTCCGCGACTCCACGACAGATTTTGCAACTCAGATTCTTTTGCCTTTGGAACTGTGGGGCTGAAAGAGTCTCACATGTCAGTTCAAGGCCGCACTTGCTGCACTTCAAGAGCGGCGCCTCCTGAGTAGGTGGAATGTCTCCATCCTCTACTGCCACCACAGGTTGCGCCATCTCGCAAATCTGAGACTCTGGAACTGTCTCAACGAGGTCGCTCATGGCTATGGCTTCGTTTGTATCGCTTTGTTTGCGCAGCGCTTGATCCCTGAAGTCAGGTTAAAGGATATTAGTTCTTGCAAGGTGTTTTTTTCAGTATGCCACTGACACAAACTGCAACGTCCTGCAACATTCTGCAACATGCTGCAACATAGTGTTGCAGAATGTTGCAGCGATTACAGTTTAACTACAGCAACATCCTGCAACATAAGGTTGCAGGATGTTGCAGCGATTACAGTTTAACTACAGCAACATCCTGCAACATGCTGCAACACTATGTTGCAGAACGTTGCAGGATGTTGCAGTGTGTTGCTGGTGCGTAGCTTCTCCAGAGCTGCAGCTTGATGGTTTGGTAATGGCAAGTTGCACGAGTGTGAAGACTGCTATTGCTGCGGTGGTCCGCGTGTTTTGTGGCGGTGGTCCGCTATTCCTCTATGCGGTCGTCCGCTATTCGTCTTTGCGGTAGTCCGCTAGTGGCTTGTGTGATAACATTCATTTTCTTTGAGCACCAAAATTGGAGCCTCCAAATGGTAAATAGAACGATTTGAATAGTAGCTAGTAGTAGTGCAAAAGACGCGCTCTTTACATTACACCCTGGCGCCCCCAAAATGGAGCCTCACACCCTTAATCGATTCCATGGGGGGGAGTGTGTTTTTGCGTGGTGTGTGTCATTGTTGTTCCGTGACGCTCGCTCTATATAGGGCTATTCCAAAACAGAAGCGGACAACCGCCTCAAGGTTCGTCAAGGCAGACAACCGCCTCCGTTTGTTACCTGCGTTTCACAGAAAACAAATGCGTTCAAAGTGTTTTCACAGCTGCTGCAACTGCATTTCACACAAAGCAACTGCATTGAAGTTTTGTTGACAACGCACTGCACACTGCTGTTTTGACCCTTCCCCCAAACAAGACAGTGAACATGAACAAAACTTTCATTCTACTGCTCAAGGTGAGGGCACTTTTTTGAAGATCCGCTGCTGGCTGCCTAACGCATCTATCGTCCAAGAAGGGATTCAAAATTGCGACATCCGAAGTCCTACGCTCTCTCACTTGGAGTTTTTCTTCACTTTTGTTTTCTCGCTTGGCTTCACCTTCGCCGGAGTAGGTGGAGTAGGTGCCTTCTTCGAAGTAGGTGCCTTCTTCGGAGTAGGTGCCTTTTTGGGAAAGGCCAAATCTTTCATGTGCATAGTCCACTGCCCCTGGTCGATCAACTGGTCACGTAAAATGCATTGCACGAAGCACGACTGCTTCTCTGGGAAGAGCTGGTCGTGCATATTCAGTACGGCGCACAAGTAGTCATGGACACACAAATTGCCGAACTTGATGACACCGTAGTATTGACCATCCATAGGCCCAAGGATCTGTGCTTTCGTCTTGTCAACCGGGACAATGTTCAACACCTTCTTGGCATCAGGATTCTCTGTCCTCACAATGACTCCCATCTCATGCCGGAGGTTCTGGTAAATCTGATAGTCAGTGCTGATGGTCGGGTCAAACTTGTCTTCATCACTGTGGCGCGCGTCGCAAAGCTGGCTGAATTTGCTGTAGCTGCCATTGAAGTTGTTGAGGGACAGGAAAATCCTCAGACGGTACAAACATAATTAAAATACGATGAATGTCCAAAAAGGGTTGCACCCTTAGCCGCCAGCCTGCACAGAAACCCAAAATAAGCTATGAATCGTCTTGGCCAAGTAACGCAGACCCACCAAGTCTGATCCTCATTACCTGCTTCTTCGGCAAGGAGCTGTGCCACTTCAGAAAAGCAAACTGGTCACCCACCAGAAAGGGTATCTGCATGTTCTCAACAGCTGCGCTGGAAGTAATCCCGTAGGAGAACATGTTGGGCGGCATGGAGTCGGAGTGACCACTGCTGCTTGAAGGCGTTGCACTTGAGACTACACAAGAACGGTACTGCAGAATTGAGAAGCATGTTGAGACTTGTCTTGATTCAATCTGGTTCAAAACATGTAAGTATAGTAAAAAAGTACAGATATATATATATACTATATATATAGTTACTGTATATTGTTGTTTTTGAAGATACTATTTGCTAGATAAAAGCAAGGCGGACAACCGCCACCACGACGAGGCGGACAACTAGTAAAACAGTACAGTATATATATATATATATTTATAGTTACTGTATATTATTGTTTTTGAAGATGCTATTTGCTAGATAAAAGCAAGGCGGACAACCGCCAACAAGACAAACTGAACACTACGCGCGCCGCCCCTTGTTTCTGATTGCGACCAGTCCTAATAGCGCCTGTCCTGAACCGCCCGGCTACGATTTCGAGTCAAACCCAACATTCTCTCATACTCACGCCTCGAGACGCCCAGTTCCTCGGCAGCAGCGCTTCTGTGCGCACGATGTTGTGCCAGCAGGCTTGGATATGGAAAAGCAGCCGCAGCTCTAGCCGCCCAAAGATTTGCACTACCATCAACTTCCGGTGCGGCACAGAAGCGAGGTCCTGGGTTGCGATGTAGCGATGTCTCACCTCCTGTTTCTGGAATGGTCGAAGATGGGCCAAGACCGCCAAGAGTTGAGGCTTCAGCAGGAGCAGCTTCACCTCCATCATGACCTGAGACTGGATTGCCAGCACCATCAGCTTCACCTTCCGGGCCAAGGCCAAGATCTTCATCATTCTTTGGAACTTCACTTGTGGTTGGAGAAGATGCGCACAAAGGGTGCTCGATCTGGGCTTCACACTGTGGTTCAGCAAGACCGAAACCTTGTTGCTCCCCCATCTCTTCCTCCAGCTCGTCCTCCTGTTTGATCTCCTGCTTCACCTCCTGCTTGATCTGTAGCATGGCCATTCGTTTTTTCTTACGCTTCTTGTCCTTCCTTCTTGGCCTTTCTTTTCTTTTTGGCTTCCTCCTCTTCGAAGACCCTGACATCTAGCTGACCAGCCCCATCGTCCGCGTTGCTCAAGGGCCAACCATATTCATCCGCATCTGCTGGTGAAGTTGGCGAGCCCTGCTCTTCATCATCCTGTAGTGGGCGGCGTGGACATCCAATGAGCCAAACACCAACCACTGATAGAAACTTTCACGAAACCAAACGAATTTAAACTTAGAGTGTGTTCCAAACATCGTTTCACTCTTTAACGGAGCATCCTGAGCCACGGCAGGCCAGAGAGCGCGTAGAGCCAGGAAAGCTGCCATGGCAAACCGCGTGAAGCACCTTCCTGAAGTTGCCAGCTGTCTGTGCTTGTTGCTGATTGTGTGAAGGGTATTGCTATTTGCCCACTGTCTGAGATTAAACCTAGTGTGGCTGAGGGTCCCCTATCTGGCCTATTGCTGAGATAATACGTTTACATACGAGTCATTGGGGTTCAGTTCGATCTTGAAGCGGACAACCGCCGCCTACGCGATTAGATCCTAAAGCGGACCACCGCTATACCTGGAAACCAAAGAGCCAGAACCACATACAAAATCTTTCGGACCTGATTGAACCAGGCATGTGAAACACGCGCGGACAACCGCACAGACAAGCTTGGCAAACACTTTTATAGCTAAAGCTCTAAACAACTGATGAAGGAACAGAAGCGTGACAAATGCGCAGACAACTGTTTAGAAAAGCTTTGCGGACTGTTTGAACTAGGCACAGTACAGTAACAGCAAGCCGTGCAAAATAGTCAGTGTTTTGCTGCAACTGCTGCTTACAAAGCAATTTTCATCGTTCGTTCACCTTATCACGCCGAGCTTTGCTAAAGATCTCTCCCAAATCCCGGCAAGAAAGCTTACACTTTCAAGCGCTACCCTTAGGTTATAGATCTATTCTACGCAAAACCTTCATGGCATTTGGGCTGTATAGATACCCATCTATGGAACGCAAAACCCTCGCAATCTCCAGCAGGAAGGAGTGCACCACGAAGCGTTTCTGCACCGGCTGCATCCACCTGGATAAAGCTTCAGCTGCGCAAGGGGGACATGCTCCTTGAGCTTATTCAACTTTGCCGCGTCGTGGTCAACCTTCGATGAAACCTGAGACTTGGACTTAGCAGCAGCTTGTCCCTTGACAGGCTGCTTTGAAGCGGCCGGCTTTTTCATGATGGTGACCTTGGCGCTTGGTTTTTTCAAAAAATTGGCGCCCTTCGTGGAACACTTCGTAGCGGCCTTTGGCGGTGGCTCATTGGTGCCTTTGCCCTGAGACGCGGCCTTGCGGGCCTCCTCCATTCTTACCAAGCTCTCGCGTAGAGACAAGCCTGCTTGAGGGGTTGCCTGCCATCAAGCAGCAACATGAGGTGTCGCAAGTCAAAGACATATGAAAAAGACATCTCCAACAACCCAACCAGTGTCAAACAACCCACATCACCCCCACTCATTGACCCATGAAGACCCTGTTTCTTCAAAATGTCAAAAACTGAATGAGAGACGAGCTGCAGGTTGTCTTGGTTGGGCATGCGACGCCGCTTGCACCTGTCCAAACGACTCGGCTGCCACCTCCTTGAACGATTCTCTGGGCACCTGCGCGCACACATCGCCTGGCACCTTTGAGTTTGAAGGGTCTAGCTCCACCTTCGCGTCCAACGTAGCTGGCAATGCGGGTGGCGCGCAAGGTGCTGCATCTGGCAAAGCCTTGCCCGAATCAGCAATAGGTGGCGGTCGGTGAACATCTTCCAAAGCCAGCGGGGCAGACTCGGGCAGACTGGTGTTCGACCCAGCCCTGCTCAGAAGGTTTTCCAGTGGGGTTGGTCGTGGAGGCAAAAGAGTCACTGGCACTTCTTTTCGCTGAGCCCCAGCTGCCATGTGCATTGCAGCGTTCCACATCATCATTGCCTGCGCTGCCATCATCTGAGTTTGACAACTGCTTTCAAGGCCCATATTCGAAGACGCACTCTTGTTGGTGGAGCGCAAGGGCACCTTCGACGCCAAAGGCTGCAAGTCCACCAGGCACCACTTTGAAGGCACTGGTTGCCCATCAGGCGGGAAGGCTACGCGCCTCAAAGCTTCAGAGGCCTGCGCCGGGTCTGCAGGGAGGCTTGAAAGGTATTCATCATCTGGGAGTGGGTGGAGTGAAGCGCCTCGCATTCGGCTGAGCAACGAGTGGACACGCCCTTTGACATTGAGAAAAAGACTGCGAAGGTCAGGGCCTCCAGCTTGCAGTGCGCGTTGTTTCTCTTCAGGTTGCTTGAGGACAACCATGGCTGTGAAAAGGGCTTGTGTGAGCTCGGATGGACACCTCAGCCCCATCTTGAACGCGTGCTTGACCAACTCCTCCAAGGCTGCAGTGCTGTTGACCGACGAATCATCCAAGCGCTGCCATAGATGTTGAGACAAGAAGCACGGCAAATTTTCCCAACACTGCATCTGCATGCGCTTGGCCGCATTTCCCTACCGCGTTCAAACCAGACCCTGCTGCAGTGCGCGGACTACCGCGCTCAAGCACAACAACACGCATAGCACAACAAACTGCAAAAATGTAACAGTGCACTCAGACTGTCCTCAGCCGACCTGTTTTCCTGGTCATACTTTCCAAACAAACAAAAGAATGAAAAACTTCGAGGCTAAGCGGTATTGGTTGGTTTCGTTGCTCTCCTGGACCAAGTTTCTTTTTTTTTTCAATTTTGAAAGGCGAAAAATGTAAGTTCTGTAAGTTCTAACTAACTAAAAACATGTATATGCGCTTACTAACTTATAAGTTCTATAAAAGTGGTGACTTACTTATAACCAACTTATAAGTCCTCTTCAAGTTAGCCCATGTTGCACCATGTTAAAACATATGTTAAGGCACGTTATAATATAACTTAACCCTACTTATAACTTGGTATAACTAAAGGTGTCCTTATTGTAGCCATGGCGAATTGTTTGATCGACAACAGCTTCTTGTCTGCCACTACCCTGCGCAGGGCTTGAGGGAGCCGATCCCTCCCAAACACCTGACGAAGGCTCAGTTCGGGTATGGCATCCGGAGCGTAGATTGTTCGATCGACCATGGCTGCTGGGCTCCCGGACGGACCTGTGAGCCGGAAAACTTCGATCGCAGAGATCACGAACGTGAGTCCGCCGTCGAGTCCGACCCGGTCCCAACCACGGTTCCCAAACGTGCCGAGGCGACCTCATGAGTGTCCCTTGTGTCCAGCGGCGGCGCCATCGTCGAACGACGAATGACCTCAGGGCGAGCCTTAGAGCACGCCTTGCAGAACACAGCCGGCTCTGGTAGAGTATCTCCCACCGACGAGCAGTCAACAAGATTGAACTTGTTGCATGCGGTCGTCTCCTGATTGACAGCTGAGTTGCAGTGGAACTTATACTCATAATAGCTGCCCTGGCTGGGCTGTTTGATGTATAGAATTCGATCGAACTGAGCTCCGAGTCACACAAATCAAACAGCATCGTCTGATCATCCTCCTGAACAGGATGGTTCTCTTGAACCAAGTCTTTCACGAGCTGCTTGATCATGACCGCGGAATTGACGACCGGTTTTATCCAGTTGGCCTGAAGACCGATCTCCTCTGCCGAGCGGCCAGCGTCGACTGCTGCGTCGAGCAGTGTCACTCGACAGGAGTGCATGGTCAGCAAGTTGATGACCTTGGCATGTCCGACCTTGGTCTCGTGGTCCAGTGCTGGGCTCTGATCAGAGGTCCTGCGGCAGATCCACTTCATCCATTGAAGCGTCCGAGCATATGTTGGAGGCTCTGACTTGAACTAGTCCAGAGCATTGAGTTCCGGGATCCAAAAATCACGATCGGCGGTCATGGTGTCTTGAAAAATATCCCAACCCACTTCCAACCATGAGGATTCTTTGAGCCCGATCTTGGGGACGATGAAGCGGGCGCCCGCCCTGCGTCATTCGACCTTAGTCTGCCATGCCACGCCGAACAGGCCCTCATTGCCCATTCGCAGCTCGGTCGGCTTCATGTGGATGGAGTCATCAAAGCGAAGCGAGGCGAAAATCATGCACAAGATCCGCCAAACAAAAGTTCGAGAAGGGGCCGGTTTCTCCTCATCCAACACATAGAACTCCAGTTCACCTACGAGCGAGGTCGGAAACGGCACGGCCTCCTTCAGGGTCTTAGCCCGCTCTTCAATGATATTCTTTTGAAGGGCCACGAATATGGGGTCCTCAAAGTCCGGAGCATCGATCGCGAGCCTCGATGTCATCAATTTGACCGCTGCCCTGAGTGAGGGTACAGTGGGGCCACATGCACGATCGTTCAGAAAAAGACAAAATTTGAGGACTACAAGGTCAAACCCATGGCGCCGAACCACTTCTCCAGTCTCTCGTACGATTGCGCGTGAGCTGCCATGGTCCGATGGGCCCCTGCTACCAGCACGAGCTGTTTCAGCTGGAGCTTCTCCCCCATAGAAAGTTCGACCCCTTCGCCCTCCTGATCACGGAACAGACGAGCGTGGTTGCCAGCCCTCTTCCCGATCTCTTCTAGCCGCGCGGCCCATTTCCACTTAAAGCTTAGCGTTCTTCTCCTTGTCGAGGAGGGGGGTCGACGACGAGCTAGTCGGTTCCGAGAGCTTGGAACGTTTCGGGGGAGGCATCGGTCGATGCAGGAGTCCTTTGATCGCCGCCTGCTTGCGGAGAACGGCTGTCGGATCAAGGGCCGCTAGCCCCTTGCGTTCGCAAAGGCCGAACCCGATCTGCCCATCAACCACAGGCGGCATCACGCTAGCCACGACCTCGTCCAGA